TTGGCACCCAAAGTCTTCATCCTAGGGACAGAACGGTCTCTTCCTGAGCGGTATGACGGCTGCGTGGTCCCATGGTGTTTATACTTGCATACTATTGTTTGTACAGATGAACGTGGTACCTTCAGGCGTTTGGAAATTGCTCCCAAGGACGAACCAGACTTGTGGAGGTCTACCATTTTTTTCTGAGGTTTTGGCTGATTTCTTTTGATTTCCCCATGATGTCAAGCATAGAGGCACTGAGTTTGAAGGTAGGCCTTGAAATACATACACAGGTACACCTCCAATTGACTCGAATGATGTCAATTAGCCTATGCAAAGCTTCTAAAGCCATGACATCATTTTATGGAATTTTCCAAGCTGTTTAAAGGCACAGTCAACTTAGTGTATGTAAACTTCTGACCCACTGGAATTGTGATACAGTGAATTATAAGTGAAATAATCTGTCTGTAAACAATTGTTGGAAAAATTACTTGTGTCATGCACAATCTTTTTTTGTTGTTGTTGAGCCAGGCAAAACAATCTATTCAGACCTGGATAGATCTGTTGAGTTTTTGGAGATAAAAAAAGTTCTGCCGTAACGTGCACATTAGACTGTATGCATAAGCTTGTCATGAGTAATTTAGCAATTTGACATCACTGGACTGTGAATTTACTGTACAGAGTCATACAAGCCTTTGTGGTTTCAGTGCATCATGTGTAATAAGTAACCTGTCAGTCATCATAACGGCATGTCTCCATAACATGGAAAGTGGCAAATTGTTCAAAAACTGTTATTAAGTTATACGACAACCGAATGAACACTCAAATAAAGTTTTACTAAGTCTTCTGATGACTTCAAAATGAGTTTCTCCAAACAGGTGGATTAAACTTTTTTTTTTTTTTTTTTTTTTTTACAAACTAGTTTATTTGAGAAGTTCAATTACCTACAAGTAGAGAAAACGTTGCAGAAAATTATCATAACATTTTGCTCAAAACACAGTTATTTAGAAGTTAAAAATAGGTATTTCTTTACCTTTGTTCTGGGGTGGTGGGAAGGAATGTCGAACCAAACCTAAAGCGCTAGAGACCATTGATTTATGAATTGATGTCAGAGGCTACATCCCAAATGGAACCCTAATCCCTTTATAGTGGACTACTTTTGACCAGGGCCCATAGAGCTCTGGTCAAAAGTAGTGCACTAAATAGGGAATAGGGTGGCATTTGAGACATACACAGGGGTTCAGGCAGCATACAAACAACACAAACAACCAACCTGTTGTGCCTCCGAGTCCGTCTAGGAAACACACACATTCATTAAAGGGGGATTTCACCCTGGCTCTGCCACGGCATATAGTCATTACTATATTAACAACAATATGTTTTTTTTTATCATAATCATCAACATTATCCAAACCACGAGCTAGAACGAGCAAATTTTAATTTCACTGATAGAATCGGGATGTTTTTTACATTTTTTTTAGCAGACGCTCTTATCCAGAGAAATTAGGGTTAAGTGCCTTGCTCAAGGGCACATCGACAGATGTTTCACCTAGTCGGCTCGGGGATTCAAACCAGCAACCTTTCGATTACTGGCCCAACACTCTTAACCACTAAGCTACCTGCCGCCAAAGCATACATTCGTCTGCTCATAGTGAATAACAAAGCCCGGCATTCATAGCAAGTGCAGATGCTGCCCCGCTAGGCAATTAGGGTAAAGTGCCTTGCTCAAAGGCACATCGACAGATGCAGATGCTGCCCCGCTAGGTAGATAGGGCGTGCCCACAAACTTGGTATTTTCATTTAGGCAGATACCCGCTACGTAACTTGATGGCGTTGTCTACTTCGAATGACCAACACATAGTAATTTCAGAACTTCTCTAGGCAACATGTTTTTGAAAACATTTTTATTAATTTTTTTTCACTAATGTTTGTCATCATGCCCTTGTGGTGTTCTGTGTCTGATTTGATTCATTAGGATCCCCATACATTACACATACAGTACATGTCATTACATACACACAGCAAGTAGGTCACATGGGGGGATTGTTGCCGTGACGTATTGCTTTATTTTGTTTTTTGAATCCAGGTTTGCTGTTCACTTGCGCTATATAAGATGGAAGGGAGTTCCATGCACTCGTGGCTCTGTATAATACTGTACGTTTCCTTGAATTTGTTCTGGACCTGGGGACTGTGAAACAGTGGAGGCTCCACAGAGGAGGAAGGGGAGAACATCCTCCTCAGTGAATTTCATAAGATTAAAATAGTGAAATATTAAAAAAAGTTATAATTTTTAGATAAAACTATACTAAATATATTCACGTCACCACATAATTGATTAAAACACACTGTTTTGCAAGGAAGGTCTACAGTAGCCTCAACAGCTCTCTGTATGGTAGGACCATGGTGTAGCCGGAGGACAGCTAGCTTCTGTCCTCCTCTGGGTACATTTACTTCAATACAAATCCTAGGAGGCTCATGGTTCTCACCCCCTTCCATAGACATACACAGTAATTATGACAACTTCCGGAGGATGTCCTCCAGCCTATCGGAGCTCTTGCAGCATGAACTGACATGTTGTCCACCCAATCAAAGGATCAGATAATTAATCTAGTACTGAAAGCATAAACTACAGATAGCTGGCACTTCAGTGCATAAAATGTGGTAAGTAGTTGACTCAAAGAGAGAGAAAGACAATAGTTGAACAGTTTTGAACAAATTAATTTCTTCCAAAATGAAGGCAAAGCAAGAGATAAATATATAGAGAGAGAGATTTGGTTGAGGGAAAAGTATTTGATCCCCTGCTGATTTTGTACGTTTGCCCACTGACAAAGACATGATCAGTCTATAATTTTAATGGTAGGTTTATTTGAACAGTGAGAGACAGAATAACAACAACAAAATCCAGAAAAATGCATGTCAAAAATGTTATTAATTTATTTGCATTTTAATGAGGGAAATAAGTATTTGACCCCTCTGCAAAACATGACTTAGTGCTTGGTGGCAAAACCCTTGTTGGCAATCACAGAGGTCAGACGTTTCTTGTAGTTGGCCACCAGGTTTGCACACATCTCAGGAGGGATTTTGTCCCACTCCTCTTTGCAGATCTTCTCCAAGTCATTAAGGTTTTGAGGCTGACGTTTGGCAACTCGAACCTTCAGCTCCCTCCACAGATTTTCTATGGGATTAAGGTCTGGAGACTGGCTAGGCCACTCCAGGACCTTAATGTGCTTCTTCTTGAGCCACTCCTTTGTTGCCTTGGCCGTGTGTTTTGGGTCATTGTCATGCTGGAATACCCATCCACGACCCATTTTCAATGCCCTGGCTGAGGGAAGGAGGTTCTCACCCAAGATTTGACGGTACATGGCCCCGTCCATCGTCCCTTTGATGCGGTGAAGTTGTCCTGTCCCCTTAGCAGAAAAACACCCCCAAAAGCATAATGTTTCCACCTCCATGTTTGATGGTGGGGATGGTGATCTTGGGGTCATAGGCAGCATTCCTCCTCCTCCAAACACGGCGAGTTGAGTTGATGGCAAAGAGCTAAATTTTGGTCTCATCTGACCACAACACTTTCACCCAGTTCTCCTCTGAATCATTCAGATGTTCATTGGCAAACTTCAGATGGGCCTGTATATGTGCTTTCTTGAGCAGGGGGACCTTGTGGGCGCTGCAGGATTTCAGTTCTTCACGGCGTAGTGTGTTACCAATTGTTTTCTTGGTGACTATGGCCCCAGCTGCCTTGAGATCATTGACAAGATCCTCCCGTGTAGTTCTGGGCTGATTCAAATCAAATCAAATCAAATCAAATTTTATTGGTCACATGCGCCGAATACAACAGGTGCAGACATTACAGTGAAATGCTTACTTACAGCCCTTAACCAACAGTGCATTTATTTTAAACAAAAAAAGTAAGAATAAAACAACAACAAAAAAAGTGTTGAGAAAAAAAGAGCAGAAGTAAAATAAAGTGACAGTAGGGAGGCTATATATACAGGGGGGTACCGTTGCAGAGTCAATGTGTGGGGGCACCGGCTAGTTGAGGTAGTTGAGGTAATATGTACATGTGAGTAGAGTTAAAGTGACTATGCATAAATACTTAACAGAGTAGCAGCAGCGTAAAAAGGATGGGGTGGGGGGGCAGTGCAAATAGTCCGGGTAGCCATGATTAGCTGTTCAGGAGTCTTATGGCTTGGGGGTAGAAGCTGTTGAGAAGTCTTTTGGACCTAGACTTGGCACTCCGGTACCGCTTGCCGTGCGGTAGCAGAGAGAACAGTCTATGACTAGGGTGGCTGGAGTCTTTGACAATTTTGAGGGCCTTCCTCTGACACCGCCTGGTATAGAGGTCCTGGATGTCAGGAAGCTTTGCCCCAGTGATGTACTGGGCCGTACGCACTACCCTCTGTAGTGCCTTGCGGTCAGAGGCCAAGCAGTTGTCATACCAGGCGGTGATGCAACCAGTCAGGATGCTCTCGATGGTGCAGCTGTAGAATTTTTTGAGGATCTGAGGACCCATGCCAAATCTTTTTAGTCTCCTGAGGGGGAATAGGCTTTGTCGTGCCCTCTTCACGACTGTCTTGGTGTGTTTGGACCATGATAGTTCGTTGGTGATGTGGACACCAAGGAACTTGAAGCTCTCAACCTGTTCCACTACAGCCCTGTCGATGAGAATGGGGGCGTGCTCAGTCCTCTTTTTTTTCCTGTAGTCCACAATCATCTCCTTTGTCTTGGTCACGTTGAGGGAGAGGTTGTTGTCCTGGCACCACACGGCCAGATCTCTGACCTCCT